AGGTGCAGAGCAGGCATCTCCTGTGGGAGCATGACGCACCACCAGCGGCTGCGGTGTGCCGCCCATTGGTCACTCAGTTCAAGAACAACCTGCTGAACCTGAAACCTCATGTGCGTGGCAAAGCTCTGCAGGAGCTGCAAGGCCTGGGGCCTGTCCTGTATTTGAGGGGAGCATTCAAGGATTAGGCCTGCCACTTGGTTCTTCCACGCAACCTGAAGGACCCAGCCCAGGATATGCTTGTTCCAGTCAGGGTTTCCCCCTTCGGTTCCAGGCAGAGAAAGGCAATAGCTTGGAAGGCTGGCGGCCAACAAGTGTCCCCGGCCCTGACATGCCTGGGCAATGTTGAGCTGGACGGTACGGTCACCTATGTCCCCTGCCAGAACTGGACCTCCGTTCAAGCGCAGTGTATCACAAGCAATGTCTGTCTTATCCACCTGTAGCAGAATTTGCATCCCGGAAAATTTAGCCCCCAGGCTCATCCCACCAATGCCAGCGCAAACTTCTACCATGGTTCCAAAGGCTGCCACGGAATGGGCAGGTTTCGGAAAAGCCCTGGACTCTGTATCAGGCTCAAGAAAACCCACACCACGGTCGATGGAGCTGAGGGTGTAGCCGAAAAGAGTCCAGAGGCCTGGTCCCAGGTTCTTGCAAGAATAGAGATCCCCATGGATGGCACCTTTGAAGATGTCCCCACTGACATGAAAAACCACCAAGTCCAGAGTTGATCCGAGCTGAACTTCCCTCAACGCAGGATCACCGAAGCCGACCATGTTAACGGGTCCCTCGAGGGTTAGTGGTAAACGGCTCTACCGCTGGAAGGTCTCGAGCCAGAGCTATGTACCTTAAGTCATAATATTAAGGCACCTATAATTTAAGGCATATTCCTTAATCATGTGTATTGGGTTCTTCTGGGGAAAACCCTAAAACCCTAAAACCCTGAACCCTAAACCCCTAAACCCTAAACCCTAAACCTCTCTATCATACATTTATTGTTTATTGCTTAAGGGGCATCTAAGAGTCTCTTTTAAGGCATATTCCTTGACTAAGGTGTATTGGGTTCCCTAAACCCTAAACCCTAAACCCTAAACCGTGGGTTCTCTCGGCCGGCAGACCAAGGAAATTGCATGTGGCGGATGCCACAGTCCGGCAGCCGATGCGTGGTGTTTGGGCGTGGCATGGCCGGTATGCTGCGAGGGGGGGCTGAGGGTGTTTAGGGGTTTAGGGGCTTAGGGTTTGGGGGTTTAGGGGTTTAGGGGTTTAGGGGGTTAGGGGTTTGGGGGTTTGAGGGTTTAGGGGTTTAGCGGTTTGGGGGTTTAGGGGTTTAGGGTTTAGGGTTTAGTGTTTAGGTGTTTAGGGTTGAGGGTTTAGGGATGCTGCGAGGGCTTAATTTGCAGGGGGGGTGAAGACGAGGGCTCCTAGAGACTCCAAAACCTTAATTAAGGAATATACCTTAAAACAGATTAGGGATCCGATTATAATTTAAGGTATATTGGTTTTGGCGTCTCTAGGCTTTCTTGCCATGGAGGTTGCGCTTCTGCCAGGCCAGTCTTTGCCTGCCGGACCGGTTCTTTCGGAACCCTAAAACCCTAAGCCCAAAACGCTTATTCGTCATGCTTGTCACGTTCCTTTGGCTGCTGCACTCTGCTGTGCTGCAGGTGGTCTCCTTCAAAGTGGCTGCGCTGCGCCGCCCCTTCGAGGCTCGCGACGACACCACGCTGCGGATGAAGATTGTGTCCTGGATCGCACAAGGAGGAACCCTAAACCCTAAACCCTAAACCCTAAACCCTAAACCCTAGGAACTACGAGCATGCATTATATTTTTGGTGAGCTCCCTGAGCCTTGTTGAGGTCAGGGACGAGCCGAACAAGCTTCCGCAAGACACGCCTGCAGACGTTGCTGAAGCCGTGAAGGGCCTTTTGCACAAGGCATGGCGGCAGCCAGAGAACCTGCAAGTCCTTAGTCCTAAACCCTCAACCCCAAACCCTAACCCAGACCTCAAAAGGATCTAAAAAATAGATC